CGACGTTGGAGTCGGGAGGTCGGCGAATGCTCGACACTTGTCGGGGTTGGCTTCAATCCCTCGTTCTGTTAGATAGAACCCGAGGAATTTTCCTGCCTTAACCCCAAATGTGCACTTCTCGGGGTTGAACCTCATTTTGCACTGTCTTGCTTGGGCGAAGACTGTTTTGAGGTGAGCTGCGTGATCGGTATCTGCTCGAGATTTGACGATCATGTCGTCCATATATACCTCGAGCATGTCGCCGATCTGTTTGTTGAACACTTTGTTCATCATGCGTTGGTACGTCGCGCCGGCGTTCTTTAGTCCGAAGGGCATTACATTGTAGTAATAGTTGCCCGAGCTGGTCATGAACGCTGTGCAGCGTTTGTCGCCCAGGGCCATTGGGATTTGATTGTATCCCGAGTAGGCGTCCATGAACGACAAAGTCTTGTAGCCGGCCGAGTTGTCGACCAGCATGTCAATGTTAGGTAGAGGAAATGCATCCTTCGGGAAAGCCCGGTTGAGGTCGGTATAGTCAACACACATTCTCCATTTTCCATTATTCTTTTTAACAAGTACAACATTTGACAGCCAGGTGGAGTACCGGGCTTCAGAAATAAAATTTGCCTCTAGGAGGTCTTTTACAGCTTTTTCAGCAGCCTCCGTTTTTTCTGGAGACTGCCTACGCCTACGTTGTACTACTGCCTTGGCGGCTGGATCAATGGCGAGGTGATGACAGGCGACCTCAGGGTCGAGTCCGGGCATCTATGCAGCGCTCCAGGCGAAGAGATCAGCATTCTCGCGCAGACAGGCCTTGATTTGCTTCCTGGCCAAGTCGGGGAGGTCCTTGCCAATCTTCACTCCCTTGGTCGGGTCTGCTCCGAGGGGAACGAGTTCAAAATCGCCGTCCGGAATAGGCCGGAGGGGGATTTGCTCGCTGCTGGATGGCTCGTCTTGGTCGAAGCGGGCGTCGAGGGCTATGGAGTCGACCTTTGGTGGAGCCTTCTGAACTTCTACCTCGGGGGATGCTCTGTCGGGCTCTTGCTTTGTCTTCTTGATGGGTCTGGTGCTAGTACCCACGTTGACGGTATCCCGACCCCTTGAAGCGGCGTTGAAGCACCTGCGGGCAGCAGCGAGGTCGCCCTGGATGGTGGCTACCCTTGCCCTTTTGGTATAAAACTTCATTTTTAGATGGACAGTTGAGGGAACCGCTGTCAGCTCCGCCAATGTCGGCCTCCCCAAGATGCAATTGTATAGGGACGGGCAGTCAATGACGAGGAAGCGGACCTTCACCTGTCTTGTAGCAGTTCCTTCCCCGAACGTCACGAGGAGCTCGACATATCCCCAAGGTTTGGAAGTCGAGCCGTTGAAGCCTTGAAGGTCCGAACCTATATACGGAGACAGATGTGAGTCGTCCAGTTGTAAGGTCCGGAACAGCTGGGTGTACATCACGTCGACGGAACTCCCTTCGTCGACCAGGATGTGATGTACGTCAAAATTAGCCATCTTTGCCCTTATCAGCAAGGGGATGACTGCGTTCGGTGCTCCGCCGGGGAGCTCTTCCAAGTAGAAGGTGATGGGCTCTGATCTGCCCTTCACCATTTCGAAAGTCACAGTTTGTGGAGGAGCTTTGTCGACCAGTTCGTCCAACTTCCTCTTGGCCGAGTTGATGGTGAGGTCGTTGAACCCGCCCCCGTTGATGACCATGGCGGAGGGGAAGTATTCCCACCTGCTGTGTGTCGTCAGGGGCTCCTGCAGGAGCTCGGGAAGTTCGAAATCCTCGGGCCTGGTTACCGAGAAGGCGGTCTGGATTGGCGCCGACTCGTCGGATGGTCGGGCATCTTCTTCGGGCTCCTTTGCTTCGTGGGCGTCACGACGGGGAGCGTCGTTTCGCCTGTACTGTGCAAGCCTCCCTCCTTTGATGAGGGTTTCAATGGCGTCCTTCAGGTGGACGCAGTCCTCTGTCAAGTGACCATGACTCCTGTGGTACTGACAGTATTTATTTTTGTCTACTCCTGGCTTGGCAGGAGCTGGCCGGGGACGCTTGACGCCACCGTCTTTAAAATCTGTGCTAGCACACTCCGCCAAGATACGCTCGCGGGAAGCCGTGAGCGGAGTGTACTCGGTGAAACGGCCCGAGGGGCCCCTTTGTTCCCGGACCTCCCGGGGTCGATCTTCCTTCCTCTTCTCTCCGGTCCGTCGGGGAGGAGGGTCTTGTCTCGAGCTGCTGCCATGATTGCGAGCCCTGGAATCTCGTGCCCTGTTGGCAGCTTCTCTCTCCTCGTAGTCCATGTATGCTCGGGCTTTGTCGAGGAGAGCATCAAAAGTTGCAGGTGGCTCAATGCCCACAACTTTTCTAAATTCTGTGCCGGGAAGGAGGCCCCTCTCCAGCAAGTACCTTTTCATATGGTCCGCGCAGGGGACCTGTATTGCTTCCCGGTTGAAGCGGTTGATGAATTCCCTCAAGGTCTCATCATGTCTTTGGATGATGGCCTCGAGGGCTGCCTCGGTCTTCGGGTGGCGCCGAGAAGCGGTGAAGGAACTGATGAACTGGTTCTTCAGGTTCCGCCACGATGTAATTGAGCCCGGGGCGAGCCCTTTATACCAGTCCATGGCCGCCTTCCTGAGAGTTGTGGGGAAGAGACGGCACTTGATGGGCCCCCCGACATTGTGATAGTGGAGCATGGCTTCGAACCCGTCAATGTGGTCGACTGGGTCTGCTACTCCATCATACTCCTTCATATGTGGGGGCTTCTCCATGCCCGGGGGAATGGGTGCGTCCATGATGGCCTGCGACAGGGGACCGCGGGGGTCGTCCTCGTCGCTCCTTTCTGGGGAAAGAGAAGGGGTCCTGTAGTTATGCCGGGCACGATGGTCGTGCTGAGATTCCCTCGAGCGTGATGCTCGGTGGTTGAAGGTCACACGCCCGTCTCTGTTGTGCCTCCTGTCGTGCCTTGATGGGTCGCGACTGGGTTCTTCGGTAGGGATGACGGGCTGTCTTTCATATTGGGGCCGCCTCTGCCTTGGTGGGGGAGAGGGGCTCCTAGAGTTCTCCCTGTAATGTCTCCGCGGGGGAGTAGGGTGTCGAACTTCTTCGACCCGAGGAGGTGGAGATGGTGGCCTCTGATGCCTCCTCGGCGGTCGTCGATCATTTTCAAGTGCCCTTAGTCTTTCTCCTTGGGCAAATAGGAGATAGTTTGTCTGGTTGATGGCCGCGAACAGTGCCTGAGTCGTGGCATCTGCCCCGGCAGGGACTTGGACTACATAGAACCGGGTAGCTCGGCGATAGGCGAGAGCTTCCGGGTCGTCTTCGAGTGTTGGAGGGGCCGTCGAGGAAGACGCAGTGTTCCCGTCCCTGCGGGTGGAAAGTCCAGGGGCGGTCGTCGCAGGGGTGGCATTGCGGCCGGGATCACCGAGGTTGTCGAGGTGTCCATTCTTGTCCGCGGGACCGTTGTTGGTGTCGGTGACGCGGGTGTGCTGTTCTTCACGAGCTGGATCAGCCATGACAGGTAATTGAATTGAGCTTTGATCTTTGGAATTGTTCGTTAGACGGGGAAGCTGTTTCCCACAGACGGCGCCACTGATCTGACCTGATCAGAAGGTTTGGACCGTCACGGCTTGCTCCGAGCTGAAAGCTTTTTGAACGAGGAGGGGGGGTACCTGCAAGGCACTCCGATGCTAAAGTCAGTGGGAGTACGAGCAGATAATAGAGTTGAGGTTAGAATGATGAATACCTGACCCTCTGGAAACAGAGGGTATTTATAGCCCCCAGCGCTGGGCCAAGGTTCCTTCGTTGGGTTGGGCGGATTTGGCCCAATGGAGGAACTGCCAGGTTCTACGTGGGTAGTGGGGACCCGCACGTGGTCCCCTTCCTGGATGTACTGCGTGAAGTGCGGGCGGACAGAGACGCGGTCTTTCCGGAGTATCGTTGGGGGAACGGTGGACTGAGTCTGCCCTAGCCGGGTAGCTCGGGCCCATGTCGAGCTGGGCAGCACGGTGCTGAGCTCGATGCCAGGACCTCGAGCTGGACGGCGGGTGTCGAACTGGGCGCCAGGACATGGAGCTGATGGCAGGATGTCGAGCACGACTTCACCGCGTGGGTTGGACATCGGGATGTCGAGGTGGACATCAGGGTGTCGGGCATGGACGTGACCCCCTTTGCCCAGTGTGGTCCTTAGTGAGTCCCTTCGGACTGGGCCTTAGTAATGCTTTTGGGCCTGTCGGGCCCAGTCCAGAACAATTTTCATATTAACTCAAGCATAAAAATGCTTACAAGTTTCAACACTTACCTTTAATTAATTTGGTTAACTTCTTCGGTACATTTTAATTAACATAATACCTTTAGAATTTTTCAAAACGATCTTTAAAATTTTCATAAATTACAAATAAATTTTCATACATTTTGAAAATATTAAATCGATCCTTAAATTTTTTTGAAAAATACAAATTAGTTGTTAATAGTTTTTAAATTTTATAAATTTTTTCTTTAGATTTCATATTTTAAATTTGATCTAAAATTTATAAAAATAATTTAAAAAATTTAATGAAGAATTATAATATTCTATTATAAAAAATTTAAAAAAATCTCATTCAAACATTCCATTAAAGTTTAACCTAATAAAAACTCAAATTTCATTTCATTGTTTCAACAAATAAATACATACAAAATCCACGAAATCATCAAACACAAAAATTATCCCTAAAACAAATTATTATATACAAAATGCACGAAATCATTAGTATGTATGAACAAATTGTTGTAAATGAAGCATTCAATAAAAGTAGAAAAAATGGATAAGGTAAAGGCTAGTACATTCTGAGTCAGCATGTATCCTTCATAAACGCCCATTGGATAAGTTTTCAAGGTGCTTAGCAAAAAACAAACGCAACATAGCCACGTCTTTTTTCTATAATGGGACCCACACTTTCCCTTTTCTCCCTTCACCCTTTGTATAAAAGCAACCCTAATCCCATTCCCAAATCTCAACTTCTCATAACGACTTAACGAAACAATTACAATCATGCTTTCTTCTCTTTCTCTTCCTTCTTCTCTCTTCGCCGCCGGAGTTAACACCACCGTAGCTCCACCTCCCCGCCGCGTCAGATCTAAACCATTTGTCATCTCCGCCAGCGCTACTGCCACCGCTGAAGCTCGCTCTACATGGACGGAACAACCAAGAACTTCGTATCTGAACATTAACACGAACACGAACTCTTCTCCTGCATCGCTCTACGAGATCCTCGGTATACAAGCAAGTGCTTCCGTCCAAGAGATCAAATCTGCATACCGTCGACTTGCCAGAGTCTACCACCCTGACGTGGCGGCGAATCACCGGAAAAATTCGTCGGCGGACGACTTCATGAAAATTCACGCTGCTTACTCCACGCTCTCGGATCCTGATAAACGTGCTAATTATGATCGGAGTTTATTCCGGCGACAACGGCCGTTGTCGATGATGTCCGGCTACTCGAGTCGGAAATGGGAAACGGATCAGTGTTGGTAGTGAGTCGACTCGTCCGAGTTAACTTCTTTGGCTTAATATAGTAACAGATGAGGAAGGTGCAGTTATTGAAGCGCCATGCCTCTAATGTAATTACCTATAGTAACTACTAGTAATTAGTTTTTTTCCTCTGAAAGTATCAGTGGTTTTCAGATTTTGTATAAAATTTGAAGATGTGTATTTTGCTGTGTTTTTCCACTAAATAGAGTAGAAAATTACTATAACCAGTACTACTAGTGTTGCATATGGTAAAGTGTGAAGTGTAAACCTTCTTCCTTTTTTGTTTTTTGGTTTTGTGTAATACTTTACTCTTCCGTGATTGCATCTGAATTTCAGATATGAAAAAGAAAAAAAATTGACATATAATATTTATCGTGGTTGAAGATGTTATTTTAATTACAGCTTGGTTATTCTTACATTGTTTTACTTACACCGTAACCTACACCGTAAATAGGATGAAAATAGATGAGACCGATAACACGGGTCTTCATATGTTCAGATTATAGTCTAACCTACGTAAGTTTAGATTAACTCTAAGTTTTTTTATAAGTTTATTTATTTAAAAAGATTAAATCTCAAGTTATCAAAAAAGTCTTTTAATTCTAATAAGTCGGCTTATGTAAATAAACATAAGTAATTTTTTTATCGTCATAATCAAATGTGTTGTACTTTGAAATAAAATACATAAATAAAATTTGGTTATCTTGGAGAACTTATGAAAATAAGATGAAAACACTTTATAAACAATGTTATAAGCTGTTTTCACAATTTCTCTTAAATTAATAATCTCACAAAATTTATGTTAATTGATAAGTTAAAATAAATTAATAGAACTAAATTTTTAGTCTCATTCATTTTTTTAGTTTGTTAGTCTATTTAAATATTATTTAAATTCCTTATTTATATATATCTAAAATAATAATCTTTTACTTAAAATAACAGACTACTCAGATCTTATTATAATTCTTTAAATTTTTTAACAGATCAGACTTAAACTTGTTAAATCTGTTAGTGCGTGAGACACTTTTAGTGAGGAGAGAAAGAGAGAATAATAAAGGAAATAAAGATTTGTATTATTCAAGTGTACAAATAATGATATACACTATGACTGCAGTTGCAGATAACCATGTTGAATCTAATATCTGATTTCTCGACTCAGGTTGCTCGAACCACATGACTGGTCGAAAGGAGTGGTTGGCAGATTTTGACGAGTCGAAGAAGAGCAAGGTAAACTTGCTGATAATAGTTCGTTGCAAGCAGAAGGTACTGGCAACATAGTCTTTCAAATGAGTAATGGAGGGAAAGCTATGATCAAAGATATGCTCTATGTACCTGGAATGAAATGTAACTTGTTAAGTGTTGGACAACTAGTTGAAAAAGGTTTCTCAGTTTTCATGAAAGATGGAGTTTTGAAATTGTTCGACACTAAGAACAATTTGGTTTTAAAATCTCCATTGTCGAAGAACAGGACATTTAAGACTATGATCAGTTCGACAGAAGTTCAATGTTTGAAAAATATTGTCGACCACAAGGATAGTTGGTTGTGGCATTTGAGGTTTGGACATTTGAATTTTCGATCACTTAATCAACTGACTACTCAAGATATGGTTACTGGTATTCCAAGTCTTGAGATGCCTGAAAAACTTTGTGAAGGTTGTTTAGTGGGAAAGCAATCCAGAAATTCTTTTGTTTCGACTATGTCAATGAGATCATCCTGCATTCTCGAAGTGGTGCATTCAGATGTATGTGGTCCATTTGAAGAACATACAATTGGTGGAAATAGATATTTGGTTTCCTTTGTCGATGAGTTTAGTCGAAAGTTGTGGATCTATGTGATCAAACAAAAGGACGAAGTATTCAAAATCTTTAAGAGATTCAAGATACTTGTCGAAAACCAGAGTGAGAAGAAGATCAAAGTTCTACGAACAGATGGAGGTGGCGAATACACATCTAAGATGTTTGAAGACTTATGTGCAGAACATGGTGTTGATCATGAGGTAACTGCTCCTTACACACCTCAACATAATGGAATTGCTGAAAGAAGAAATATAACCATATTAGATATGGCAAGATGCATGCTGAAGCAAAAGAATTTTCCAAAATCTTTATGAGGAGAAGCTGTTTCGACTGCAGTTTATATTTTGAATAGGTGTCCTGCTAAGATATTGAAGAACAAGGTTCCTGAAGAAGTGTGGAGTGGCAAATGACCATCAGTAAGTCACTTGAAGGTGTTTGGCTATATGTGTTACAAGCATGTTCCTGATGTAAGGAGAAGGAAGCTTGATGACAAGAGTGAACCTATGATTCTGATAGGATATCATAAAACTGGTGCATACAAACTATTCAATCCAGTTAATGAAAAGATTGTGTTGAGTCGAGATATTGTGATTAATGAAAATTCTGCATGGGATTGAAATTCTAGCAATTCAATTAACAAATCATTAATGAACTTTGATTTCGACGAAGAAACTAATGAAGTAGAGGTCGAAGGAATTATTGAGAATCCAGTCGAAGTCGAAGAAGAAGCGGTTGTTGACACTCCCGTCATAGTCAAAGAGGTTGTGGCTGAAACAAGCCAAAGACCTCAAAGAAATAGAGTTCTTCCAACAAGACTTCATGATTATGAAGTGATGGGTGATGATGAAATCACACCAGATGGAGAATTAGTTCATTTTGCTTTACTTGCAGGTGCTGAACCAATCAACTATAGAGAAGCTTTGAAGATTAACAAGTGGAAGTTAGCTATGGACGAAGAGTTACAGGAAATCGAAATAAACAACACACGGGAGTTAGTCGAATTGCCAACACATACAAAAGCTATCGAAGTAAAGTGGGTGTTCAAGTTGAAACACAATGCAGATGGGTCAATAGCAAGACATAAAGCAAGATTAGTAGCTCGAGGTTTTCTTCAAAGAGCAAGACTTGACTACTCTGAAGCATTTGCTCCAGTAGCAATATTAGAGACTGTTCGACTAGTAGTAGCATTGACATGCAACCAAGGCTGGTCAACATTTTATCTAGATGTGAAATCAGTATTTTTTAATGGTCATTTAGACGAAGAAGTTTATGTCACACAACCTCCTGGGTTTGTGATTCAGAAGGAAGCGAGTAAAGTATATAGATTGCACAAAGCGCTATATGGCCTCAAGCAAGCACCTAGGGCATGGAACAAGAAGATCGACTCATACTTAGTCGAATTTGGATTTGTCAAATGCAAATCAGAGTATGGTGTCTATGTTCAGGTTGTAGCACAAGATATAACAATCATCTGCTTGTATGTTGATGACTTGCTAGTAACTGGAAATAGTTAGGAGAACTTGTCGAAGTTCAAAGAGCTGATGACGAAGGAATTTGAAATGTCGGATCTAGGAAAATTGTCTTATTTTTTAGGCATGGAATTTCAAATGTCGAAGCAAGGTATGGTGCTACATCAATCATTTATGTCAAAGAAATACTCAAGAGATTCAGAATGGATGATTCGAATCCTACATCCTCACCTGTCAAACCAAATGTGAAGTTGGAGAAGAATGGAGAGGAAGACAAAGTCGATGCAACTTTGTTCAAGCAAATTATGGGATCTCTGAGGTATGTGTACAATAGTCGACCTGATATAGGTTTCGCAATCGGATTAGTAAGAAGATATATGGGTGAACCAAGAGTGTCACATATGAAGGCTGCAAGAAAAATCCTTCGATATTTGAAGGGTTCAATAAATTGTGGAATATTATTTCGACGAGATTCTGAAGGCAAAGAAGCAATAGTTAATTGTTTTCAGATGCTGATTGGTGTGGAGATAAGGAAGATCGAAGAAGCACAGCTGGATATTTTTTTCAAGTATTTGGTGCCCCAATCTCATGGTGTTCGAAGAAGCAACCTGTGGTGGCATTGTCATCGTGTGAAGCTAAATATATAGCGGGATCCTATGCTGCATGTCAAGCAATTTGGATCAGATCTGTACTTGAAGAAATGACTGTCGAAGTGAAGAAACTTCTAGTATTGCAAATCGACAACAAGTCAGCCATAAATCTAGCGAAGAATTCAGTTCTGCATGGAAGAAGTAAACATATTGAAGCAAGGTTTCACTTTTTGAGGGAAAAAGTAAATCAATGTGAACTTGAAGTTAGGCATTGCTCAAGTGAAGCACAGTTGGCCGACATTTTCACCAAAGGATTGAAGAACGACAAATTTCTGAATTTGAGAAAGAAATTAGAAATAATTCAGATTGACTATTTTTGAGGATCTTCGACAACTTGGATTATGGGGGTGTGTTGAAATATTAAATTAGATTTAATATTTAATATAATCCAAGTTATGTTAGCTCAAACCCAATTAGAGTTGTATATAAATAGTCATAGTGTATATCATTATTTGTACACTTGAATAATACAAATTTTTATTTCCTTTGAACTAACACAACTTAGATTATATTAAATATTAAATCTAATCAAATCTAATCTAATCTAATGTAATTTAATATTTCAACAAAATCTTGAATCAATCCAATTTATTTTCATCTTACAGTAACCGATAACAAAGCAAAATGGTCTTTGCACGAAAGCCAAAGAAAAATAAATTATTAAAAAAATAAGATTTATATATATATATATATATATATATATATATATATATATATATATATATATATATATATATATATATATATATATATATATATATATATATATATATATATATATATATGTACGGTGTATATATATGTACGGTGTATATATATGTTAAAAATGAGTGCAAAGATATCTTTATCCTTTTAGTAATTATTACGTGGGTTGAACTTTAGCTAATCTGGAAATAAAGTTCTAAAAAAAAAAGTAGGAATAAGAAATTTCTGACTAGAACATCTCAATTGTATTAAGAGAGTTTGCTTTAAGTGAAATTTAACTATTAAAGCGGTATTTAAGATATCAAATAGTAAATTTCTGACTATAATTATCAATTTAGAAATTTTGCACAATTTTAATGTATTAAGTTATAATATTTTTGTT